CAACCACACGCATCCTCTTATCAAGTTCAAGCGTCCCGTCCGTAGTGTCAGTGTCACCACCTTGAACGAAGACAGGACCGGCACGTCCATCACTCGCGTCGGCGATCGTGAGCCTACTAGGCGATCTGCATCGACCGAGACTACTCCCGTCTCCCCATTCAACGCCGCCACGCAGGTTCAAACCATTGCCGATGTGAAACCGACCGAAGACTCCCAACACAAGACGACGAAGGACAAGATTGAAATTCGTGATCTCCTTGCCGAGCCTATCCAGGAAGTCGCTGCTGCCATCCCAATTAAGACTGTGCAGGCCGTGCCTATTCCTGTCAAGAAGACCGAGTCTACCGCAGAGGGCCTTGATGCCCACTTCGTCCGCGACGCGATCCCCGATGGATCCAAGATCTGCGCTGGCTTTCAATTCGTCCAAGTCTGGACCCTCCGTAACCCTGGCCCCAATCCTTGGCCTGCTGGCTGCAGCGTCCGCCATGTTGGAGGCGACAACATGCTCGATCTCGACAATACGCAGCCTCTGAGCCAGAGCGAGCTTGCTGAGGCTAGTGAGAGCAATGTCATTGGACGTACCGTGGCCACTGGTGAAGAAGTTGCTTTCCGCATCGTCCTCAAGGCACCGCTCCGCGAGGGCACCGCCATCTCTTACTGGCGTCTCAAGACGGCAAATGGAACTCCCTTTGGTCACCGTCTCTGGTGCGACATTCAAGTCACTAGCCCGCCGGTTCCAGTCTCTCCGCTCGCACAGGGCCCAGTCGAGGCAGAGGCTACGAGCTTGTCCCCTGCATCCAACCCGAGTTTGTTCGAGAACTTCGGAAAGACCATAAAGACCAACCCTGAGGTCATTGCTCGCGTTCAAGAGGAGGCCGTAGAGCGGCTAAGGCGGATGAAGCTTCACGTAGCAGAGAAGGATAAGCAGACACGCATGCTTACCAAGTTTGAGGAAGAGCGCATGCGTGCCAAGGTTGAGGAAGAACGCATGCTTCGCATTCACAAGGTCCGTAAGGCTGCCATCGAGCGTCTGATGGAGGCTCGCCGCAAGGAGCAGGAGGCTTCGGACGCTCTCAAGATCGCCCGCGAGCATGAGAAGATCCCCGAAGCAATCATTAAGACCGAGACTGCCGAGCTTCCGGCGGAGAGGGAGATCATCGTTGAACCAGTCACAGCAGAGCCCGCACCCCAGTCGTCAGGCATGATCTTCCCCCAGCTTGAAAAGGAGTCTCCGGCCTCCAGCACCCACGAGGCCGTGACTGCTCCGGCCGAGTCCCCTCGACCCTCAAGTGTCACCACCGCCACTGTGACCGATGACGAGTTCTTCGAGGATGCTGAAAGTGTGGAGCTCCGCTCCATCTCCAGCGACGATGATGGCTTTATGACGGACGAGGAGTATGATATCCTCGATTCGGCCGACGAGGGTTTTCCGTAAATTAGTGTTGGTGCTCTGGGCCAGCCCACTATAGACATGACACGGTCTACACAACTTCGTCTATCCCGGCCACCAACAGGCTTTCAACGCCAATTCATGGAGTTTATCGGATTTGGATGGTTGTCATCGCGGGCTTTAGGGGGTGTTTTGGTTTCGGTATTCAAAGATCACACTCCTTCAGGGCGTTCGACCACATGCACTGTCTTGCCTGGTCAGAAACGGGGCGCGTACGGCGCGCTGGTCCAGCCCGACTATGGCATCAAACATCACGGTGTGTGATTATGTATTGCAATTTTCTTTTTGGCTTCCGATAGGATTAGTATGAATGAGAATGCCATTTCCTTGAGTCCTTGTATCGTCGACTTCGGCTCCTATCCAACCGGACACGCAGTCTCCAATTGCGCGTTTATTAGAAAGTCACCACAAGATGTCTGCCTCCACCATACCCGACCAAAGTCTATGACATAGTTTGGGTATGCATTATGTATCCTATAGTCATACAATTCACGATCGGCTACAGATCTACCCTCTAGTTTTGTCCACGTAGGCATGAGGGCAAGATTAGGCCACTAAACGAGCGAGCACGTCGTCAAATACGTTCATCCCGATGTTTACAGAGCTTCCAAATGTCAACGGATCGATTATCATGTAACGATCTGGTGCATATGCTAATCAGGGGGTGGTTGCCTCTTTCATCACTCACTGTGGGTTCGCTTCCTTCTCGTGTCATTACGCTACTGCCTCGGACCTATGATATCGCAAACGACATGTTGTTGACCCTCTATATGGCAGGCACAACGAAGGCGATGCCTAAGAGCTTACGCCGCGCACATCACTTCTCTCTCTACTAAAAACCTTTAACTATTGCCATCCGATATCCTCGAGCTTAGAGCTACCAGTTCGACCTACGCATTTTATTATTATTATTCCTTTTGGGTAGTCCATATCGTAGCAAATTGAACGACGGCGTATACTTGCTTGGGTTCACGCAGCCGTGGCCGCAATTTGCTGACTGCTCACAGCACGATTCGCTATCAATACCTGACGTTCATCCATCTTGACCACTCTTACTATCCGCCTCAATATACTCGATCACCACATCGTAAGGCATATCCGCTCTCGGTCGAGCCCGTAACTACAGGTGTCGTCGTCTACCTTACCATATTAGAGGACTCTGCTATCAGCTCGATCCCGCTCATCCTTGAAACTCTTCCAAAGCAAAGGCAGTGAAAGTCTTTGTGGAGAAAATCGGCAAAGCAGGTGCCTAGGAAAATTGCGATCGAGAGCGGCGCGATGGCGGCCAAAGGGAAGGAGCTAAAGAGGATCAATATTAAGCCAAATCCAAGATGTGAGAAGGCGGGGATGAAGAGTTACGCGAGTTTGTTGAAGAAATGTCGGTTCCTCCACCTCCCGAGTCTTCACAATATCTACACGCGGTCTTCACTTTTACCTAGTTTGCTCATTATCGTGTAGACGATTTTGCTCCAACCACCGAAGGGCCGTACCAAAAGGTCGACGAGGTCGCCAAGAACTTCAAGAATCTCTTCAAGCCGAAGGGCAAGAAGTCTACTAAGCCCGTTCTCAGGAAGGTGGAAGATGTAAGCCATAGCCCGGAGAAAGCGGATGTGTCGTCTTCGCCAAAGAAAGCATCCGTTTCAACTAAACAAGACATTCACATCGTTCCCATTCGTGCTTTTTGGCTTGGACTGACTTCGTACCTGCACCTTAGGACGGCAAGCCGGGCGAAGTCAAGGCTGAAGATCAAATGAACGACTCTCTGTATCTCTGTCCTGTCGAGATTGGCAATCCGCCCCAGATCTGCAATCTGGATTTTGACACCGGAAGTTCAGATCTTTGGGTCTGTCCTCCCGTCTTCCGCGAAATCTACCAAAACAGAGCTGACAATACAGCTCTGGTCCACCGAACTTGACGCCGACACGCAGGCCTCGGGCAAAGCCTCCGGTCACAACATCTATGACCCCAATTCCTCTTCCACTTTCAAGAAACTCAGGGGCTCCAAATGGAGGATCCGCTACGGCGACGGATCCAAGGCCTCTGGCATCGTCGGCACCGACGACGTTACCCTCGGTGGCCTCACCATCGAATCCCAGGCCATCGAACTAGCCTCCAAACTGAGCTCGCAATTCACCGAAGGCGCCGGCGATGGCCTACTCGGGCTTGCTTTTGGCAAACTCAACACCGTCAAACCTAAGCCCGTCAAGACACCTGTCGAGAACATGATCGACCAGGCGGACATCGCCGAGGACCAGGAGCTGTTCACGTGCTACCTGGGGAGCTGGCGCGACAAAGATGAGGAAGATCAAGGAGAAAGTTTCTTCACATTTGGGTATATTGACCAGGATGTTATTGCGCGGTGTGGCGGGCAGGACCCGTACTATGTGCCCATCGATTCGAGCAAAGGGTTCTGGCAATTCAAATCCGAATCTGCTACGGTAGGAGGTCAAACAATCGACCGCCCTGACAACACCGCCATCGCGGACACAGGCACAACCCTCGCTCTCGTCTCCGATGACCTGTGCAAAGCAATCTACGGCGCTATCCCTGACGCACGGTTCGACTCTAAAGTGCAAGGCTGGGTTTTCCCCGTTGGGACACCGCCCGAGGCGCTTCCTACGGTAACCGTTGCGGTCGGCGGCAAGCAGTTTGAGATTCAGAAAGAAGACTTTGGATTTGCGGATTGTGGCGGTGGGATGCAGTATGGGGGGATTCAAAGCAGGGGAGATAGCGGGTTTGATATCCTAGGGGACACGTGGTTGAAGGGGATTTATGCCGTTTTCGACCAGGGGAAGATGAGATTCGGAGCTGTGCAGAGAGTAGAGGGAGAGCAGAATGTTGACGCACCGAAGAAGGCGAGGAGAGTTGGTGGCGGGGGTTGAGTAGGATAGGAGGCTTCGAGAGTGGGTATGGTTAGTGACTAGGTTTAATAGAAGATTGTGGTCCTCGAGGGTGGATTGCGATGGTGGTGTATGTGTGGTCAAGTAGTCTGTCCACTATGGCATCAGGCGCGTGTCAAGTAGGTTGAATGGTTGAGAGAGCGTACGTTCTCGTCCGTGCAACAGTCCCAGGTGAAGTAGTTAAGGACTAAATAATAGCGAGTTCTCCAGACTGTGGACCTAGACTACACGTGTGCTAGACAAAGTCAGTATCGCGTATTTAGCTTAGCAACCGTACCTTCCGGTTGCGTGACCGCAGGGTACAAATAGGATAGATGTGGTCAGGTTCTCAGTGACAAGTTAGCATCATGGGATTGGGGGATCTGTGAGTCTGTATCTGCACGGAGTACTACGCGGAATAATATGTATCTCGAAGGCATATATTTTCACTGTGCAGTCCAATCCTAGGACAAAAATGTAGAGACTTGTTGTTCGCCGATTTAGCGGCGAAAATGTTGGCACGCTAAGACCCAACTTGTGGTACTCCATGGTGCGAGGCGGATCTTCGCACCACCAGAATTAGCACCATTAAGTTTGCTTGTTATCTTACTCTTATGCGGAGATATATTTACAACAAGGTGAAAATAATCCATCGATCCAAGAGAGATGACGGCCACGTGGCCCAATGGCAAGGCGCTTGACTACGATAAGTAGGCACATCAAGAGATTGCAGGTTCGATCCCTGCCGTGGTCATGTCTTTTTGCGCTCTGTTTGTTTTTGGCATCCCTAATTTTCGGCTTACTGCTGTGAGCGCCCTGTTTTCGTTTTTGCCTGCCCTATTACTTCTGCAAGCAAAGAAAAACGCGAGCGCGACACGCTAAGCGAGAACGCATCTGACGTAGCCCGCAACTGCTGCCTTCAATAACGACCCGTACTGGGACCTGTCCTCAGCCACGATGCCACAGTCCAATGGCTCTGCCTACAAAATGGCGCCTACTTGACACCTGCTGCTGCCTCTCGCTGCGTTCACCTCCTGCGTCCCCTACCTCTCCTACCTCCCCCACTATAACCGCGACCATGTCAAACTCCGCGTCGAACCGGCCGCAGTCCGTAGCTCCCGGGTTCGCGCAATACGCCGCCGAAGACTTTGTCCAAGGCGCCGGCGTGGCCATCTTCCATGTAAAATCCGAGCGTGTGGTGGTTTGCAATGCGGTGGATCGCCGCGTTGGGAGGTATTATTTTTTGCCCAAGGGACGGCGGGACGCTGGGGAGGACACGAGGACGGGCGCCGAAAGAGAGGGCTTTGAGGAGGCAAGTACACCCCTCACGGTCTCATTCACAATGTCAGCTATATCAAGCGTTGACGGGTGGTCCTTGCATGTATCATATACGCTGGGATAACACGGTGCATTGTGCATCACCTGGCTTCTGGTACCGTACCAGAAAGGACATGTTGAATATACGCTGATTATGAACCTGCAGTCGGGCTACCGCAATCGCCTCCTCCCTCTACCCATCCAACACTGCCAACCCCAAGCGCACCCCCGCATCTCTGCTCCTCCCATGACCGCAGAGCCCATCTGGATACAACTCATGCCGCTTGCGCGCCACACCAAGCAATACCTACTATACTGGTACATTGCCGAAACCCTCCCACCAGATCTCGAGCCACTCCTCGAGTCCAAGCCCAACGAGCCTTATAAGCCGCCGCCGGCATTCCCGAGCGGGTTGACGTTGAAGGAGAGGGTGGCCATGGAGCCAGAGGGGTACGAGCCGGTGCATCATGAGGGGACCGGTGTCGATGAAGAGGAGCTGGGGTATGTGAGTGAGCTTGTCGGGGTAGAGGATGCCGTGCGGTTATTGGGGGAGAGGAGTGTTATGGCAGATGTTGTGCGGAGGGGCTGGGAGGGGATTCGGGAGCGTTGGAGATTGGAAGGGAAGACTGAGGATGACACCTCGGCGCGAGGAGGCTGAGATCGCTCAGTACATCAATGTGAGGCTTAGAAGATGGGACAGATAGGGTTGAGATCGAGATTTGTTAGATCGAGTACAGCCGCATGAAATAGACACCGGTGACTTTGAGATAGAAGACCGTTTGCTCCAAACGCTAGCGTTACAGGTGCCTCTCGCCATCAAGGTCAGATGATTGATCGTATACCGCTTTCGTGGCTATCAAGAAATCCTTTACAAGAGGTTGTTTGTGTACACGGCTCTTGCATGCAGTCTAGGTCGCTCGATGTCTTCTACAATAGGGGCGGGCCTCTTGCCAGTGTTTCCAAATGATACTTGCACAAGACGAAAATATGATATTCAAAATTACTTTGTTCCCATTGCCAGCATCCGATGTACTGAACCGATCGATCCCATGGGGACATATATCCAGGATAGAGTGAAAATTAGCAACAAGGCATGCATGCAGTTTTAGCAGTGCATAACCTAAATGCCCTAAATTGAGAGCACTCACCACTCGTCACCTCGCGGATATTTACACTGAGACATTGTCGTCGTACATAGAAGCATCTGCATACACGTAACAGCCAGTAGGCTGATTCTACCACCGGTTAGTCAAACCTTGTGCTGTGCGTATAGCAACCTATGCTATAGCTTGCTATAGCTGAAGAGCAGTATAGCTGAACGAGGCTCAACGACTTCGATATGTGTGTTAGTTGATCTCCCGTCTGCAGTATTGCATGATCTATGGTCGTTGTAGCGCATCGAATACGGCTGTGTTACCGTATTTGGTATACTCTATCTAGAGCCGGGATAGTGTCTCGAGTCAGATGGCGGTGCTTAATCGGGGGTTCTGCTGGTTCAATGGGCTGCGATCTAGTTCTTGGTTAGATAGATCTAAGATAGTACATCGTTGGGTGGTATCGGGTAGAGCTCTCGTGAGAGTCCTTCCTTCATGCATCTGCGACCATTTTATAGATGCATGATACCCTGATGCATTCTTTCGATAGTCTCAGCGGCGGGTGGGACGCCTGGTAGGAGTACATTGTCGAAGTCGGCATCTGATCCAATACAGCAGTATCGTCCGCGAAAAAAAGGCGTGCTTGTCTCGTTGACCCACACCATGTCTTGTCCTAGGTACATCTCCTACGATAAGGCCTACCGTATACCGAATTTGTCAGGTGCAAAGAATCCCACCTCTTCAAACTCTTATCACCTCCTCTTCCTCTTCCTTCTCGTACGCTCAACCTACTTCACCTAGACGCCCGCAATTCAGGCCAAGTCCTTGCCACAGCATTACTCAAGTATTTGTCAATTTGCGCGACAGTGTACAACAGCAGCGCCGCCTGCTTTTATCCAGTTCAGCCGCGTGAGCCTAGACCGCGAGCGCTTCCTAAGCACGCGACTGGTCGGCTCCCGCGCAAGGGTATATGGACGCACTTTAGCGAAGTCGGTACTTGAAGTGGAGCGCCTGGTACGTGTGATGTCAACAATCAATCAAAAGGTGGTAGCGAGGTTGTGTGACACTTTGTGACAACGTGCGCTTGTGGGGTTCATTTAGAGCATATGAGGTTTGTGGGGGAGTAAATGAGTTGGTGCATGTGGTCTAGTAGCTTGCGGTAGCGAGAGGTGACAGTCTTGTTGGGCTGTGGATGTAGGCGTGAGGTGTTGCATGGTGGGTGGCCAGAAAGGGAAATCGACGATGACGGGTGGCGATCTTGCTTGGCTGTAACCTGGCGTCGAGGCGCTGCCTTGGAACGGGTACATATGCTCGAGCATGGGAGCCTTTCACACAATATTGGTGATGTAGCGAGATATTACGCTATGCTAAGTGTTCGGTTAGTTCACTGCTGTCACCGCCTCCATGAACGCAATGTACAAGCCATATAGCGAATCTCGAAAAGCTTGTTTTTGGGTGATGGTCGGTGTAGGGATACATATGTTCATGTTCGTTGCAAGGTTGTGATAGCAGGGGCTGTATACCTTGGCCTGTTGCAACTCAAGGAAGCCTCACGCAGAACCTTCTTTCGCTACCTCGTGCCTGTACGCAACATTCACATGCAAAACTTACCACACGACACGAGACGACACCCAGCCCAACCATCCCACGCAAAGCGCATACTCTCGGAAGGTACCTCCCACTCACATGCACTTCCTTCCGATATAACACCAATACCGTCTCTCCGATAGCAGGCCTAGAAACCCAAGCATACCTCTCCTGCACGAATACATAGCGTCTCTTCGTCTCGATACCTGACTCTCCAACTACCAAAACCGTACATAGATAGAGTGCAGGGCGCCCAACCGTAGATCTGGATCTTCCGGTGCGGGTGCTGATCGGACATTGGAGACGCCTGCGCCACACCCGCGCATGACCTCCGTGGCCATTCAATCCATCGCGGGAGCTGATCTTCAAGGCTTATTTCTGTTTCTCGCACGCCTGAGATCCTGCCCTTCAAGCTTATTTTAAACTTGTTTTGCGGAGTCAGAGTCAGCATTCTACGTAAACGCGGACAGAGGCGCATGATGATCGCGGAAGTAGATTGCGAGGAACGTGGTAGGCCAACACTCTCCGAACTCCTAGGCTAAGCGATGATCGGACAGTGGCCACAGTGGGTAAGCGAAACAATAGGAAACAATTTGATCGTGTTCTATTATTGGTGTTTGGATAGTTGACTGTGTTACCTCGTGGTGCGCGATGTAAACGCAGATTATAAGACACCAATTCACTGCGAGGGTGCCCAGTTCGTTACCTCACTCGCAGTGGCTGTAACACTCAAACGTACATCACGAGTAAAGTGTTCGCCTTGTAAGGCCATGTTGATTGCTTCGGGATTGCCGCGTCTATCTAAATAGCTCTCCTTGCGCCCTACTCAACCAGCCCAATCCATATCAAGCCAACGTGTGCCACCCACCCTGCCGTCACCAGGGGCCCATTTGTATCTCGCAAGATTGCAACAAGACGGTCCAAAACGGAGTGCGAAGGAAGGTAAGAAAGTTTGTACAAGGAAGAAGAAAATTGTCGAGGACAGATAGATTCAGGTCATTAAATCCCAGCAGTATGGCAGAAAGTTGTCGCCGCGACTTGGATGTGTGCAAACCAGCAAGTCAAGGTGGAAGAATGGAATGCGCAGAGCGATGCGATTCGTAAGCAATCGGGCGTAGACAATCGTGCGAGAAATGAGCGGAGCGGCGAAGACGTTTACCACGAGAAAGACTCTTCGCGGAAGTCGACGTTCCATTGTGTCTCACGCTCGCGTACTGCACGACGGAGTTCGTCAGCCAGCGCGCCCGTTCCGCAGGTCGTCACGCATGCAGAACCGATGCCCTCCATCATCTCTTGGTCGATCAGTGCTTGCACGTTGGGTCGGCCAGGGAACATTTGCACGCTAGAGGACGGCGAGTGAATCTCCTTGGTGCTGCGAGGTCTCGTGACGAAGAGAAGAATCTTGAGAATCTCACGGCGGCGCGGCATAGATAGGATATGCGTCATCCATGTGCGGATCCATTCAAGATGCTCCGGAGATTGGATAATCCAGACCAGGGTCAGCCTGCGGGTGGCGGTTGTGCCGTTGGCATAAGCAGCGACAATTTCTCGAACCTGAGGAACCTGGTGCGTGATACCGATACCAGCAGCCCAGAGCATGACTGTGCCATAGGAGCTGAGATCTTCGCCGCCTGCGATATGACGTTAGCATGCATTGTACGTCGAGGGTATATTACTTAATATAGCATAAATTGAAATCTGGGGGAACAAGGTTCGGCACTCACCATAAGGACCCTCGACAAATGCCGTGGTGGTA